GTAATACTTTTTCTGACAACGAGTAACTTTTATCAAAGGGGGGATCGACCGCATTCTGCTTCGTTTAGTGTCACGGGGCTGAGCCGGGAATGGGCGGACTGCACTCAAGGCGTCATTGCTCGATGTTGCCAAATATTCCCACCAGACGCGCTCGATGCTGCGAGGAAATCAGTGATCAAAAAGCAGAACGCCGATGGTAAATTCACACAGACACACAGAATACACTTGGACTTATGGCGAATGGTTTTCTTGGGGCGGGGGGTGTTTGCATCGACAACACCTCGTTATCAGACACCCCGGTGTCGGTTAGAAGGACTAAAAGTTGTGCTCGTTACGAAACTTTCTTCAATCAGTTCGCAAAAGGAGTCCAAGAGCAGCAAGATGATGCACAACTAACATTACGATCGCACTGTTGGTTACTCTATTCGGCATTTGTCTGAATGCGTTAACGAATATCACCCAGTATTCTCCACCTGGAGAAATTGGGTACCCCATGGACTCGCACTGCTGATGAGACCCAACCAGATCGAAACAGCTGTCCAGTGCTTCCTAGCTTTCCAGCCCACGCGTCATTTACACGAGGAGTTCATTATATAAACAAATCATATCCTCTATTACTTATATCAATACAATTTTGTTTATCTATCAATGTTTTATTTTGATTGCTCTATGAACACACTGGTAATGTTCTCATGTCTAATATGAGCAGTCAGCCCAGTTACTGTTTTACTGTGATAAATCGTATTGCTTCAGAGTCTAGTGACGATGGCGACGGCGATTATCGTTGTCCTGATGGGTATGATGTGACCGCCTTGTTCCATGGCTAATTCTCTCTGGCTCTAAGTATAATTTTTACTCATTCTATCCTCGGTTTATATCTGTATGTCAGCTCGTTCCAGACTTCCGCGGGTCACGTGCTGTGGATTTGCGAGGATGTGGACTCATGTGGAGTTATGGCCGCCCAACGTATGCAAGCTATTCAACACGCAGCCTGTTTGTTGAAGCTTGGTCAACCTGTGATTGGCCGTTTGGACGGAAGTGACCGCGACAAGTTGACATTCTCCAGCCTATGCAAATACACAGAGGGTGTGGTTGTCCTAGACTGTGCAGCCCTGACTACATCATCGGTGGAACTGATTCATGAAGCCAAACTACATTTACTTAATTTGAACTCGATCTTGGTCGAATTGGCAAGACAAGACACTCCACCGAAAGTGTACCTTCCACATTGGGTTGTGATTCTACGAAAGGAAAGTAAGTATTGGATGACACACACATACTGATAATACACCGACCGGTTTACTCATTGCATGTATCTATGCTGTCTGTCTGGTTTCATTCTGTCCACTACTGAACCACCAAACAGGTGTTAGAATTCGATCTGTAGCATATACAAATGCTTCCTGCCGGGAATTGGGTGAACGGGAACAAGCAGAAGTCTCGTGTTCCGTTCGTTGTGTACAAAATGCCTCTTCCACCCCTTATCGTTTTATATTGAGATGAATTTGACGAACAATCAATGAAGCTTGGAGAGATGGATCAGTTTATGATTGTGCAAAGCCAATACTGTTCGTCTAATCTTTTAGGCTTTACTTCTTTCGGATTCATGTCACGTTGTGGTGAATATGATGTTCATTTGTCTTTCACACATTATATCCACATCTGCTCAATGTGCAAAGGAATTGGGCTGCAAAGTAAACTTCTATTAGTTGGAAGCGCCATATATGACTATGAAAATCATGGCAAAAACTGTTGACACTAGCAAAATAACAATAAAAAAGTATGTGAACGAATTATTTTTAGAGTTTCAGTCGATCACCGGTCTCAAGAATCCGCAATATTCATCTAATCTGCTGATTGCCTGGGCGCAAATGAGTGCTCTAAGTTGAAATTGGATTATCCATGTGTTTATACAATTGGAGTGCACTTAAGGTACTCCTGGGTCGTTTTATCCTCATTCATGGAATTCATCAGTTGCATACAACTACTGAATGTCCTCTGATTGGCTTTCGTGCTACAGTCATTTGCAAATCGAGTCGTGGATACTTCGTGCTGATGAACACATTGCAAACACTGAGCACCGAAAACCGGTCAAGATTGTCATCTAACTGAGTTCAACCAATGGCCCCAGTTTTGTTCATCAAATTTCTGAGTAGACATTCCTCTTTTAGCAGTACCTTTTGATGCTTTTGCTATGCAAGAAGCGATTTCACTAAAACGTGTGCTCTGTGAGACAGAATGATTTCAGCGGATTTTTTCCTTTTCTCAGATCCTCTACTGAGTCAACTCCAAAACAATCTCACGTGGTATTGCAAGATACATGATCGTTGTATTCAGGACGAGGCTGCGATTCACCCGGATTCGTATTTTGTGAATGTGAATGTTGAAGCAACTCTTCTCGACTACGTGCAACATTGTGACATGGATCATGCACTCCAGTTGGGCCTGGTTCACTTCTTTGTCCGTGTCCATATGAGTTGTTGTCAATCGATCGGTGCAACTTCATTATGGAATCGATGCTTGATCGGTGCAGACAAGTTAATCGCCTTGCGATCCGCAATCCAGATATGGTACACGTTGCAAGCTCGAACAAATCCGCGTATTGCGTTGGACAGAAAACTTCTGAGTGGAGCATGTCAATCCTTGACCGCATTACAACTGGCCATACCGGCTTGGGAACATCGTCTTCAGGCAGCAGAACGTTTACGATATATTCAGGCAAACAAGTGGATCGATCAAGCCAAACGAAACAGAGAGGAGGCGGAAGCCATTCTGAAACGTAGTGAACACGCGTTCGAATCGGCTCGCAGACACGTGAAACAAATGAAAATTCCGTTAGAACAAGCTGTGTTCGCATCACAGAAACAAGTGCAACAGGTTAATAAAATGTCTCTATTCATCCCACGGGGGTCGATAGTTATTTATTTGTATGACCGACTGCCCTTTGAAAGATGGTACTCGAGTGCTTGATGAAATGTGTAATTCTAAGTTCAATGGTTGGCATTAAAGGTAATTTAACAAAGCTAATACTTATCATACCTCATAGGAGTTTTACGAAATGATCCAGACAACGACGTGTGCATATGTCCATCAAATCCTATTTGTCGTCCGTTCATGTGACAGTTTATCATGACAGACACTAACTCATACCCTTTTAATCGATGTTGTTCGTGAGTCAGCTTGACCTAGTTTTAGACCATCGTTTAATCGATTGATCTATTCTCGCGATCATTCATAAAATGGTCACCCCGGTTCCGATTAGCACGCTCTCTTGTATGTGTTCTGATTTTTTGTGTTGGGTTACGCGTCCCTAGATTACGGTGCCTTAGCGTCAGGCTAAGAATTTGGTCTTATCACGGATAACGTTACAAATAGAAAATAATAATCATAATATGCATGATCACTCACACACGTTAAAATTTCCAGTGTTCCTACTCTTTGTCAAGCTGTGAATTACTTAATTCCACTAGCGGAGCACATACAACGCGAGACGAGAGAGAATTCCATACACTGCACACTTTAACTGTAAACGAATGATGCCGGCAATCTAGGTGACTGTTCTGGGTCCTCAGCTTCACTGAATATATCCCTGAGATGATTATTTTGAGATAAACTCAACTGAGAACGGCAAGGGTGGTTAGGTTGACACAATATGTGATATGTCCAGATTAGGTCCCCCCGAAGCACCAATATTTGCAGTCTTTCGGAGTGAGTTTTGTTGTACCATTTTTGTTGCCAACCTTTGCGGATGTTCTGGAGCCTTCTTGTCGCGGTTCAACCACGGATTCCATACGTGGCCGAATGAACGCTGCTGGCCAGCTTGGGAACAGTGCTGTTTCCAGCTGCCCGAATGCACGTTTAATTAGTCTAACTTGCCTTAGAGCGATGGATGATGCTTTAACACGATGCGTGGAACATCGACCGTGCATAACTCATCGGTGTCAGTGGAACGTTGCCCGATGTAATTGTTCAGACGAATGAGGAGAACCACATGACATGATTGCGATTAATTGAGAACGAGTTTTTACGTCACACTCTGTTTTATTTTCATATCAAAGCAGCTGGATTCGTAACAGGCAAAGTAATGCTTCCAGGTGCTCGTTTATTTGGCTTGGGTTAGTTTAAACCAATTGTGACTTCATTGATGAAGAAGACTAACTCATTCGTAATATTTGACATACCAATTAACGGGACACCCCTACCCCCTACCCCCCTTCCCCAATTGAAAATGTCAGTACACTCAATTCCTCCCTGTTCGTCTGCCCCCTTTTGATCGGTCGACTTTATTCCCTCCACGTGTCGTTNATTAAAATCTTGCTTAATCACTTGCTGGACATTAACCACACTGTAGACACCGTTTCAACACGTTCATAGGAAACAGTCGGTTATCGATAGTACCATCATCGACAGACCAGACAGACTAAGCACTGATCCTAGTTTGCGGAAAGCACCTTGCAGTGATAACGATGAGGAGGTTGAATTATCTTTTTTTCATTTGAAGCCAATCCAATGAACGATCTACGCACCCGACGAGTTTACGAAGTTCTACAGTTCTACAGTCAACTGCCTCAATGAAAAACTCTTGTTTTAGTCTTTTGTTCGAGCATTTGCTGATGGTTGTGCGATTAACTGTGAATGGGGTAAAGCAGGTATGCGATTGTACTGTTTCTTCCTGGGCATGAATGTGCATAGCAATGGTGAAATTTGGAGGGCCGAGGCTTTCATGCTTTTTTGATACAGGCAGTGAGCCACCGCACCGGTGATTCCATCAATAGTTGTATCACGTGCATTCAAATGCTTCGGAGCAAAAAGCTTCAATCAGAACAGTTTTCATGAAAGCGTTTTCAGTATGAGTAGATGAAGAATGTTGATGGATGGGTATGATATGGAAATAGTTAACATAATCGCATTTAGGAATCATTCAGTCACTGATAAACAAGGCTTGTAGGCTCGTTCTCGAATCAGTCCGTTCGTGAATGGAAGTCCTGACTTGGCGGGAGGCTTTCGATTGAAGTTAACTGCATTAACTGCATGTCATCTGTCTCCCTTCGTCGCTGAAAATGCTGAAAATGAACTGACCATCACTGAAGATGACACCTGAACAAACATGAATTGGCGATTCGGTTCAGCCATGGTATGAGCTGTGTGGCACAATGGGAACGCACTCGCCTTCCATGCGATGGGTCCGGAGTTCAAATCCCGGACGGGACGGTGGACATGCACTACTGATTCGCTCTAATGAGAGCGAAACTCGAGTCAAGTGCTTTGATGTACCGAGGATTGTGCGTGAAGAGGAAGTCCGAACGATGGTCAGCTTAAATTAATAAAATCAATTATCCCTCACCACTACTCACAAGTAGTTGGAAGTCAAATACGGAATGTTATGTTGTTAATATTGCAGCGATGTCGGTAGAGAGTCGTATTCGCCAACGTTTCGGTTACCGAGGGTAATCTTTATCAAGGCAGTATTTACAATTAAATGACTCAGGGGAAAGGAGCACAAGTCACCGGACGTTTTGTCGTGTGTGTGTGTGTGTAGTGAGCTGAATGATTCGTTGTCTGTCACAGTAACTCCCATTGTCAGACGGGGTGGAGTGGCACGGTGAACAAACAAAGGTCTACTCCCCCATCCAAATAGACAGCCAAAATACATCGACAACAACAAACAGTGCATGATTCATGATGGTAGAAATAGTACCGGAGAGTGAATGCCGATCAATTGGAATCAGTTTCAGTTCGAATCCGATTGCCTGTTCGCATCTCGTTGTGTTTTGGCGTGGGGAGCACAGTTCTGTGTACTCATCCTGCATTTCCTGCAGTTTCCTGTGTGCGATGTTTTCGATTCAATCAATAAATCATACGAAACAGAACGAATTGAATTTGTCTGAGAAAATCAGGTACATTTTCCACAGCTAAAAATTGATGCCATTTTTATCCGGTGCACGAATACGGTCTAACTGGATATTCATAACCAGTACTACAGAAGACACTTTTCACAAGCTCAAGATTCACCAGCATTTCTAGCTTATGAGGGGGGTGGATGGGTGATTAAAGACAGATAAAAAGCCAAAAGGGCGCATAGTTCAAGTTCTCGACGAACTACTGAAGCGATAGCGTTCATGGCGAATCTGTTCGGTTTATAGGCGAAATCAAGAGGGTTTGGGGAAGCAATAGTTTGGGAAATCAGCCATTTGAGGGTGATAGGTTCCGCCAGATCTCAAAACACTTAGCACGAATGGGCATTGAATGGCAGTATACAAGCGATTTGAGCATACCTGTATGAGAAGCGTATATTGCATTCTGTCAATTTAACTGCATTATGCAACACTCACCTTGTTCTGATGGAGAAGCACATCGAGCTTGACTCGTTATCGTTGCTGCTCTGTCATTCACGGTATTACCGTTGCTAATAAACATCCGGTTTTGTTCTTTCGTGCTTGAACGGAGGAGTTAAAGTGATTATACACACACGCACACACCTATTTTATTCATAATTGACTAACACCTTTCACACACTTTCCTATTCAATAATCGTGACCCCGTAGCCTGTTCTCAAACGAACGCTTTGCAAACAGACATTCATTCAACCTTAGCTTAGGCCTTGTATTGTTCTATTGCAAACATTTGCAGTAATTGTAAGTACAGATCGACAGGATGCGAAAGGTACATTGCTTGCCGTTCTGAAAATTCTAACTACCCGGTCCCTAGGGAGTTTATCAGTTGGGTCCGTGAACTCTCATCGCGAACAACGCCCACTAAAATTGGTGCAGTGCTTCCCAGTTTTTCGAGTTCTCTATATTCTGCTTTATGCACGATGAATTTCGCGCTACAATGAGGGAAAATAACGATCTGTGGTCCCGTCCAAACAGCCTCGACAGCAATTGGAAAGAGAGAGAGAGAGAGTGGGAGGCACAGTTGAATTGTATCGACTAACCTGTTTGTTGGGCCAACCGAAACTTCAACTCTACTTACATTGTTATCAGGTTATTACGTTTCCATGAGGGGCAGTAATGTCATTATGGTTCCTTTTCCACCTTTTTTTCTAATACTGTCTCACCCGGTTGTGCTGGCCAGATCTCATGCATTTTCCGGTAATTTTCACTTTATGTGCAACCGGTCCACATACGCAGGTACAGGGTTGTAAAGCGGCGGCAATATTTGTACTAAAAACAGCGGATTTTCAACGTCACCCTGTCAGTTTTGCCATTATGTCTCTCCTAAAACAATTGGATATCAGGATTGGCATTCTGACAACAGTGGGCACATTCTGTTTCGTATGTGTGTGTGTGTATGTGTGCGTTTATGTGTGTTCCTTTTATGCGCATCAGGCAGTCAGGATTTCCGGCATCGATTGAGAAGGCAACTATCACGTTGTATGCATTCTCCTAAACAGAACCCGTATTTCCAATATGTAATAATCCATTTCTTTCTGTCCCGGCCGGCGGTTTTCACCTATTGCTGTTTGTCTTTTAATTCTTTTTCCAAAACCCAGGCATGGGAAACATACAGAGCTGCGCTGGAGGAACTTTATGCGCTGCCCGCAGAAATACTGGCCGAAATCCGATCGTATCCATCACCTCCGGAACCGGTAAAATCGTGTGTCTACACGGTGTGCATGATGTTCAATGAGGAGGAAACGTAAGCAAGGGTTTTCTATCCACACACACACACACACACACACCGTATATTTCATACATTTTCTATGACCAATCATATCGTCTTAAAATGCTTCTTCTAAGGCAGATCGATGTGTTCTTTGTTCTTCTCCAAGTTCGCCCTGACACCAAAAAGCCGTGCAATCAATAAGTACCTGTTGTGTGTGGCCGTGCTATCACAGAACCTGGTCTTACGATGCATATTCCAACGATTCCAGTAAAAAGACAGTTGGAAAACAGTGCAAGCCAAAGCGCGGTCGTGGTCAATTAAGGCGGCAAATGTGTGGTATTTATGGGGTTGCTCACCGTCTAGATATCTGTCCGAAATGGAGGTTACGGGGGTAGCAATGATGGACCTGCCAGAAATTAGGTCCCCGTACTCTGTGCCTTTTCTCTGACGTCCACGTATTCACTACGATCGAGAAAATGCGACATGTTCACGCGGTCGCGACTGATCCCAATCCAGTTCTGATTCATATCGTGATAATTCTCAGGAGAAGGCTTGTCCTGACAACGCCTAATTCTTATCCAGCTTCACATCGAGTTAGTTTTCTGATTAAAAATTGTGTTACAATTCTCTAATAAACCCGTAGAATCATCAAATCAATTTGTATTTTCCAAGTGTATACTAATACAAAGTACTATTTGGACCGTATACAATGCAAAGGAAAAGGAAACATCAACCAAACTAACTGCGTTTCAAATACTTTACAAAAACCTCAAAATACATGTCACTTGATGAATAATAAAAAAACAGGTTAAGATGTTTATCAAACTGCACTTTCCACAGATATCTTCAAATTGAGCCCAAACAAGCTATGCACAGTGCAATACGAATACACATTATTTTACTCTGATCGACCTGGATAAACTGCGCTGGTAGGGATGTGTATGGCACATTTTACCAAATAGTTTGCCACGGCGCGCGATGTTTTTCGAGGGGGACAGCGGTTGAAAAACCGTTGAGGGCGGTCAGACTATGATCTGACATGGATGTTCGAAAACCCCAACTGGGACACTGGATCACATAGGTCTCTTTAGGCTCCCTGGATGGGGACCCTCAGGATCATGGTAACCGATGGTTAGAGATACTGAATGATACGGCTGAATGTCGTAAACATTGTCACTTGTACATCTACTCATCATTCTTGGAACTGCCGTCTATTCTCCATCTTCGTACTGAATCCACTCGCAACATTCCAATCTTGACTCTGCTGTTTTATACAAACGGGCGGCGAGAACACAGCAACCAAAACCGTCGCATGAAAATACACGGTTCATGGTTGTAAAAACCGAACTGAACTGAACGCCGGTGGAGTTTGATTTATCTAATTCCCTTCAAAATCTCAACAGGCCTTTTCTGTAAACCACAAACCAGCGTTGCATAAGATGCAATTGTTATATGCGCTAAATAACGATAGGGTTGTACAAGTGTTATAGATCGTGGTTGGAACACACGGTTTTCTAATCTGAGTCAGTTAGCCTTGCAATGTCAGATGATGATGATGATGATGATGATGATGATGACGATGATGATGATGATGATGACGATGATGATGATGATGATGATGATGATGACGATGATGATGATTCATTCCGAATTGGCAGTTTCATTCTGGTTTATCCATCCCACCCCACCCCCACTCCTCCCAATCCCGACCGTGCCACTTATTTCTCATGCAGTTGGAAGAGTGCAAAGAAAATGATGGCCCCTGTACGGTTTTTGAGCAAAATGCTTCAGTTTCACGAACAAACATTGTCCCCGTTCCACTATGCAGCACTGAAAGATCGACTGGCACACCCCCATCTGCAATTGGAGACTTTAGAATCGGTAAGTGGTCTACTGGTTTAGAAGCAGGTGATGAACTGTTAAAAACAAGTTATGTAATTTTACAGAGAGTCAGCTAGATGGAGTTTGAAGCACATGTATCTTTTTTGGTTTAGTGAACGCATTTAGCACGGTTGAAGTCCTAATTCACTTGAGTAGAAAGCGAGAAGATTTGTTCTCTACAGTTCCACAGAGCACACCTCAAAATGAACCCAGAGTGGAGAACAAGTTCGTCATCTTCATTGCACAGTGTATTACAGTGAAGCGAACATCACTGATCGCTGCCAAACGCAAAACGCATACAAGGTAAGTAAGAATGAGTAAACAGGATAGGGATTGGGCCTTGTGTTGAAGAGTGTGGTTTGAAATGATCGTTCGTTTTACTGCATCAATTGTGTTGTTATGATTGGTCCGTATAAGACTTTAATTTTGCCCGCCGAACTATCTGATTGGTTCAGGATTATATAAACGCCTGTGATTCCTTACCCAAATGTGATTCGTGTCAAGTGGGCTAAAGAAAATAGTTCGAGAGCATTTCCTGAAGAACTAACATTTGACAGGCCTATTTTCAGGGAAGGGAAAATAAAGTGAACCCTTACGGTTAGCACACTGATTGCATAGTTTAACCTTATATACATACTATTTCAATCATTATAGTTTGATAAGAAGTGATAGCAGGGTCACTATTACTGTCGTTTCGCAGCCATGCCCTTCATTGTCTCCAACCATGGGTCTTTTGGACCCCAACCCGGCAGACACCTACTTTGCCTCGTCGTTCTGTGCATTTCTTCATGCCTCGTTTCCACGTTATCATTTGGCCTCCTCGTGGCATTTTCCAGTCCGCAGCGGCCACCCAAATAAGGCGCGCTGCGGTAGGCGACCGTCGGACATACGCAAAACGTGTCGTAACCAACGGAGCCTATTGAGGTGAATTCGATGCGATTGTGAGCTTGTGTTCGATGCATTCCCAGATACTTCTATGTTACTAATCCGCTCACTCTATCCAACCTGGGCTGGACTACGTAAGAATCAACCCAGTCTTGCAGCGTTACTTTACACTTTGAAGGTGTAAAGTGCACGCCAGTTTAGCTTATTTTGGCAAAGGGGAAATTAACATCAATGGGTGTGAACAAAACATTAAGCTTTACAGCGTAAATGGTCTAACTCACAGCCCTGAGATACTGATTGTGTGATTGACTGTGGCATGACTACTAATCACTGAAATCGAGCTTGTTCCACCACTCTGTGTTCGATTTGAAGGGATGCTTTAACGGTGGAACCTAATCCTGAGTCCAATGCATTAAACAATAAACAATGATGACCGTTTTCTCAGCCATCGAAGTTCTCCTTTTCCAATCGTGTTTCACAACTTTAGACTGTGTGTAGAACGAATTAATTGATTTATATCATGAACTTCTGGGATAGCACTTGATCACATGGTAAGGGCATGACAAAGAGTGTATGAGTGTACCGGAATCAGTATCTGAGGCAAAAATTTCCAAATGAATGAAAATTAAAATAACACAATGATACATCGTCCAAGTACCCCGCGTAATTATATAACAATCTGCTTTCTATAATGAAGTAAAACGGATTTTGTGGATGTTTTTTTTTACAAATTTCCTGGTTTTTGTGTAACTAAAGGGCCGAAATAACTTTTCAAGTGTTCATATCTCTTTTCAGCAAAATTACTGAAGCATCGTTGTTTGGCTAATCTCCTTAAACATTGAGCAGCAGAATTTTTTGGTCCCGCTTGAACTGAAAATTATTTACAATTTTCCCTGTGGTCTGAGACCGGGGATTCTGGTCAATCGTAATTAATAGTGATGGAAGCAATCCGAAATTAAGATACTAGATAGGTGAGCAGGTAACTACTACTGTGATGGCGAGTTACACTGAGGGCGCAACTTCATGATGCGTTTAACTCTAGATGAATCTAGTACTGTGCGTGAAAATACGGTTTCAAGGCCAACCAGTTCACGTCAAATTCATAAGCGTTATTGGAATGTTGAGCATTCAGCGGCAGTGGCATCTACTTAGAGGTCAACTGAGTCGAACACTTTAGGGTATAATCCGATACATTGTGTTTGATGAAACTCTTTATCAGTGAGTGCTGATACGAACCAACACTCGTGTGTGAGTTCCTACATTCACATTTTTTAGGTATACTCATCGGATTAATAGTCCTTTTTGTGCGGGTTTGAAAGAAATGCCGCTGGTTTTGTTGCAAATCACTAAGACGAAACGATTATCTGAAAAATATTACGGAATGCTCTAGTCAGACATGCGTTCGGGACTCAAGCTCAGCTATTTTCCACTGAGCTGCACAGTCGTCTATGGGCAATTTGAGTTCCGGACTAAAGTGATCAATTATATTCTCGTTCATTCGATGTGGAAAATCAGTTACTTGTCAAGTAAAAGTTAATTATCATATTCATCACACTACTTACATTGAATTTACTCCCACGGAGCACATTTTAAACAAAGCAACAGAGTGGCAAACAAGCTCGTTTTTAGAAATTAGTGCTCATGCCAATACATCTCAATAAACAGTAATATTTGGCATTAAAGTTGCCTCGGGAAAATAAAATAAAATAAAACCACAGATAAATAAAAACGATTTAATTCTGAGACCGGAAATCGGATTCACCACAATCACATATTTGTTTGTCCACCCATTCGATCATCGAGATTACACGTGATATGGTGTGTGTAGGGGTGGGCCAGGGAAACTTTAGCGCCTGCACAAATTGTTTTGGGGCACACATACTG